TTTTTTTTTGGGTTTTTTTTGGGGGGGGGGGGGGGGGGGGGGCATCGATCTTGTGCGTGAGGTAGGCTTGCTTGTGCGGCGGTTATCCAATGAATTCCATGAGGCGAGCGCCCCTTGTACTGACACGCTTGGCTGAGATTCTGATGAGTGTTCGACCGAATAGACTAGTGGGTGCGGGGAGGGTGGCGAATTGAGGGTGCTTGCATGGATATGAAGCACAGCAGCCCTGTGTACCGTACCCCCAACCCCCCCTCCCTCCTTTTTGTTTGACTTGTGTTGGGGAGTCTGGAGATTGGGGTGCTGACCTCTCTAGTTTCTCCGATAGCCGTCGATTTTTCTTGGCCTCTGTTGACGGTGGGGTTTGGTCTCATGTTGGACTCACAGGTTGGCCTTGTTCCTAGAGGCTGGTGTGTCACTTTACCACAAGGCTTGTACGTCGCAAGTTTTAGAAACCAGAGAAAGCGTTAGCTCGCCGGACGTGGCGAAGTGAGGAAACGGAATTCCGACGGGGTGCTTTTGTTCACCGTTGCCCGTGTGACACGCGAGGTGCTTATATCAGGGACTCTTCAAACGTTTGGATGGTCTTCGTTGGTCCTTGCCCTCGTGTGTCGATTCTGATTGAAGTGGTCACCATCAACTGATGCCACGGCATGACTATTATTGCCAGATTTCTGGGTATGGCTCGTGGGAGAGAAGCTACAGATGTCAAAACAAAAAATGTTCGTCCTGCTGTATGCGTACCTGTTTTTTCTCTCGAAGTGGAGAAGATGGTGGTTGGGTGTGTGTAGCAATCTCGCGTTGTGCGGCAAGGGTGTCGGTGTGAAGCGCCATACTGTCGACTCCGCCTCACTTTCTGATGTGAGATGGTTGAGGCGACTATTCTTGCACGAACCTGACCCCGACATGTCGGTCAGCACGAGCACCAACGGTCGGCCGGCGCCCGTTGCCTGCGTTGTGTCTTTTTATTTCGAGTTCTCCACCGCTTATTGTCAAATCTCTGTTCAGTTGCTGGGTGTGCTGGCGTTTGCATTACACCACCGCAGCGCCGTCACGGGGACGGTGGGGTCTACATCTATGTTGTCACATGTTTTGCGTAGAATACAAAAAATAGGTCGAGATGAAAATAGCGAGGGATTGGTTCGTTGGCGTGCATTGCACCGCTTGTGATTCGTGGGTTTGGGCACGGCTAGCGGGCAGCCAAGTGATTTGGAGAGAGGGGGGGGGGGGGGGGGGCCAAAAAAACGAAAACTACGGTTCGGGAAAGAGGGGAAAG